AACACAAGAAAAGAACTCAGCCATTATCCAGCCATCTTGACCTCATGCTTAGTCAATAATCCATATTTATTATCCAACTGTGCTTTGTAGAGGACAAATAATGCCTAAAATGAGCACAAATATCTAGTGGTATTTGTACTCCAGAAAACCGGAGAGACAGGGTTTCTCCATCACACTAGCAACAGATTGGATTAAAGTTACAAAATGAAATTACAGACTATTTGAATAATATTTCTGATGATGAAGAGTTTGAATGGCTGGCAAATATTGATCCAAGTTTATGAGATGAATCAAACAAAGAAAAGCAGTTAGACAATGATGAAATTTTCACACCAATTCTGCTCTGCTTTGCATACTCCTGTCTTGCACTCTCCATAAATAAATATCTGTGAAATTCGCCCGTACTGAAATAACAATTTGGCATTTTGGATAATAAAATAATATCTTATTAAATGTTTTGTTGTGAAATATACACCGAATGCAAATATGGCATCCAATTTGAATTGCCATTGTTCTGGACTCACTAGCTTCGTCTTTACGTGGAAACACAAAAGGATTATCACATGTGAGAGAGGCTAGTGAGTCCAGAACAATGGCAACTCAAATTGGACACCATATTTGCATTTGGTGTGTTGCTGAGTATTTTTACTAGTTGTTTGTGTTTTGTCTCACCCTATGGACTCGTTAAAATATGGCACATCTCAGCAATATTACACAACAACACGTTTAATAAGTTATATGTATTGGTGTTGAGGGTCAATGCCTTTTTTTACATTACTGGCAGCAGTTTGGAAGGGGAAGTCCATAGGAGGACTGATTTTTCACTTTTAAGGGTCTGTAGTTTAAAAGGGATGACAATTCCTTATTGAACTAGTCAAGTGCATGCCTATCTGAATTTTTTTTGGTATGAAATTAATATCCTTACAATACAGATATGATTTATGGGCAGCCACCCATGTTTAAGAAATAGGGTTTAGACTGGCACTTGGCAAGGAGTAGCTAAGATAATGTTTTTGGGCCTTAAAGAAATTATCAAGAAGACCACATGCATTAGTAATGGAGAGTTTTAATTCTAGCATTGAAAAAGTTTTATGATATTTGAGAAAGGTAAGCCAGGGACAAGTCTACAAAAAGAAATGATTAATACTATTATTTGACCCTTTAGAAGACTTCTTCTCAGTTTCATTTAGAACGGTCCTACCAGGTCCCTTTTGTTCTTTTTATGTTAAGCCCTTTGATATTTTTACATACTGTGGCTCTGTTTTTATGAAGGTATAATCACATTGTAACACTTATGCTTATTTATTTACCGTTCGTATTTTCAGAGTGAAAATGTTAAGAGAAGTGCCTTACACAACGGAAGAAGCTGAGAGAGCTGCAGGAATGGGATCATACACACTCACATCCACCAAGCCTCAGTTACCAGTCAATGAAGATGAGGAAATGACAAACACAGAAAGAGCTGACAGGCTGGCACCTAATCACTTAGTGATAATGAAGTGATCTTCAAAATAAATTTCTGTAATTTCTACTTGCAGACGATCCGTGTTACTATTTGCTTATGTTGCTGCAAATGGAAGAAAATGTGAAAATCCCCTTTGACCGTAACTTACTTTGATCGTGTGAATACATTAATTCGAGATGAAAAAGGTGAAAAACTCTTAAATGCAAGAATAATGGAAAAGAACACTAAATAAAGATTCTGAAGAAGTTTTTGTAGCAAAATTCCCCTTTTTACCCCTCTTGATATTTTAATATTTTATGCAGGCATTACACGTTTTGCTGTTCATTTACGCAAAACATACATTCATTTACCTTAGTAGTTGAAACTATACGGCAATATACGTTCATTTGCACTTCCATGAACGTCATTAACGAGAACAAACTTTCAATAACACTCTTTGCATTTGTATTAACATTCAATATCATCAATTGATGAACAATTGCACCTTTGGACAATCAAAGATAACTATACTTTCAATCTCGCGCAATGGTTAATCATTAACACCAATAGAAAATCAATTGCAAAGTTTGACAATTAATGGCGTATTTGAGACATTCGATAATGCAATTTACATAGAGACGCACAATTGCACCTTTATTACTGACAATCGTTTATTCGAAATGGTCAATCATTAACGTGAACTAACAAACGTGTGTAGTAATAACAATCAACAAGGGAAAAAGAAATTTCAAAATTACAGTGTATTGTAATGTTTTGTAATTATCCTTCAATTTCTTTATTATTTAAACATCTTGGAATGTACTTTTGCATAAACCTGTACCGCTGTCCACAGTTAGCAGCCGTGATAGTGCCAATCTTTCTCTGCAGGACGACTTATGTCCGCTTTTACGGCTGCTTTTAAGGCACTTATTGCTTGCTCCACGATGTTAAGAAACGGGCTCCATGGTGCACCAACGGGCTCTTTTTTCACCCAGCATTTCTCGGTGGAATGATTGGACAAAGATGTAATGACTTTCTGTCACAGGCAAGGCTAAATTTCAACCCAAATGAACATGTGATTTTCATTTATGACTGCGCACCAGCCAACAACAATCCTGTCATTCCTGGTCCTAGTTCTGAGCGCGTGAAAAACTACCACCACGCCGCCCGTTTTTAATATCGTGGTGCAAGCAATAAGTGCCTTAAAAGTAGCCGTAAAAGCAGACATAAGTCGTCCAGAGCAGCGAGAAGAGATGAACAACAGAGCAGAGTACATTGTAATAGAACAATTTTGAAATTTGGTAAGCACTAAAACAAGGAATGACCTAAATCTACCTACAACCACCTTCAGAATACTATTGTGACAATTTGTGACAATTTTGTCCATAATGTTCGCTTAATAAAAGATACTATATATACAAGGCTAAAAGATTAAGAAAAAATTATTAAAAAGTTTAAACCAAACTTTTTCGGCTGTTTGCCAACATCAGGGTTGTGACAATTTTCTTGACAAATTTCAATGTAATTGCACAACGGAGGGGGGCATTGGGGCCTCTGGGAAACCGCAAAACCGGAGAAAAAAACCTCCAAAACCGAAAAACCGACGAAAAAAGGCAACAAAACCGAAAACCGCATGCAAACCTGATAAAACCGCTGCACTTTTACCTTTTAAAGGGGTCAAAAAGGAAGAACCGAAAACCGCATCAGTTTTCGTGAAAACCGAATGCCAAAACATGTAAAATCCGCAAACCGCTCTGAACATCAAAACCGAAAAACCGAACTTTTTTGGCCAAAAAACCGAAAAACCGATCCAAAAAACAGTCGAAACCGAAGCCCCCCCCACAAAGGAAATGTTGTCGCTTGTCTTGCATGTCATGACCAGGGAAAAACAGGAAGAAAATTTTTAACACAGGAGCAGCACCTGGAGCCTTGAGGTTTTTCGAGTAATAGATGGACTACGTTTTCGAGGTCAGTGTTTTTAAGGTCTGAGTCTTCGAGGTCTTTTATTGCGTTTTCGAGGTCCGCTTTTTTCGACGTCTGTCTGAGGTCAACGGGACACCAAGCAGGACCCCCAGCAGGATCATGACCAAAACACCACATGAGTACCAACGAGTAACATACGAGTAACATACGAGTAACATACGAGTAACATACGAGTACCAACGAGTAACATACGAGTAACATACGAGTAACATACGAGTACCAACGAGTAACATACGAGTAACATACGAGTAACATACGAGTAACATACGAGTACCAACGAGTAACATACGAGTAACATACGAGTAACATACATATTTTCCGCAGGGAACAAAATTGGGACCGTGGCTATTCTTGGTTATGATAAACGATTTGAAAGTACCATCAGCCAGTGATTGTATAAAATATGTAGATGACACGACAGTGTATGAAATCATAAGCAAGGGTGGTCCTAGCAATGCTCAGTCTATGATAAACGAAGTAGCTACCTGGTCAACACTCAACTCATTTCAACTCCATCCGAAAAAANAACCCTTACATCATTAATTGGATAATAGCCTTTCTTAAAGATAGGAAACAAAGGGTCAAACTTGCACATGATTGTCTCTCAGAGTGGGGATCGGTCCGAGCAGGAGTACCGCAGGGAACAAAATTGGGACCGTGGCTATTCTTGGTTATGATAAACGATTTGAAAGTACCATCAGCCAGTGATTGTATAAAATATGTAGATGACACGACAGTGTATGAAATCATAAGCAAGGGTGGTCCTAGCAATGCTCAGTCTATGATAAACGAAGTAGCTACCTGGTCAACACTCAACTCATTTCAACTCCATCCGAAAAAATGTAATGAGCTATGAGTTTCCTTTGTGCGCTCCCCTCCGATCCCCTACGCTACGCTTCCCCTCCGCTCCCCTCCCCTACGATCTCATAGAAATTAATGGCTCTAAGGTTAGTGCCGTTATTGTCGTGAAATTACTGGGTGCTTATTTTCAAGACAACCTCAAGTGGAACACTCACGTTACTGAGACGATTAAAAAGGCCGCTAAGCGCCTTTACTTTTTAACTCAGTTAAAGCCAGCTAAGGTACCATTACCAGAATTAGCAAATTTTTATGTTGCTTGTATTCAATCTGTCTTACTTTATGGATGTCAGGTCTACCATTATAGTCTCCCCAATTATTTGAGCTTAAGTTTAGAGGGTGTCCAAAAGAGAGCCTTGATAACCTTATGATAATCATTTTAGAGAAGTGCTTCAGATGGCAGAGCTGAAAACCCTAAGGGATCGGAGAGAAGACCTTTGCTTAAAATTCTTTAACAACATCGTCTCCAATCTCTTGGATTGTTTATACCACTTACTGCCTTTCGATAACCGAGATCAACTTATGGAGTTAGGACGACGCAGACCCTTTAGAGTTTCCTTTAAAACAAATCGGTTCAGAGATACTTTCATTCCAACAAGCGCAAGACATTTTAACTAACATTTATTATAATTGTATATGTAAATTAGTTCCCTTTTAGGTTTGATTTTATTGTATGGCTCTATTACAAAATTTGTACACCTATTAAGGTATTCTTAATAAACGTCTATCTATCTATATTTATGATAGGATTACCACAAATTACATTGTATGAAGGTGCAGTTGATTTTGCGTCTCTATGTAAATTGCATTATTGAAGGTCTCAAAAACGCCATTGATTGTCAAACTATATGCAATCGATTTTCTATTGGTGTTAATGATTAACCTTTGCGCGAGATTGAAAGTATAGGTGTTATCGTTGATTTTCCAAAGGTGCAATTGTTCATCAGTTAATGCGATTGAATGTTAATACATATGCAAATAGCGTTATTGAAAGTTTGTTCGCGTTAATGAAGTTCATGGAAGTGCTAATCAATGTATATTTGCTGTATAGTTTCAACTGTTGACATAAATGAATGTATATTTTGCGTAAATGAACAGCAAAAGGTGTACACAAAAAATGCGACTAGAAAATATATCGTACTCAAACGAAAAATATTTTTTCGTACCGAGGCGAAAACAGGAAAAACGTTCCTGCCCTCTGCTGACCACCAGCAAGACTCAAGTAACTTGATATATGCTTTAAGTTAAAATAAAAAAAAAAATCTGTCAACACCGCCAAATTAGGAAGGGCAATTTGGGGTATTGCATCATCGACACTACTCGTAGCATAGGTATTCAACTGCGAAGGAAAGATATCCCGACACCTTCACCTTAGAAATCCAGCTGGCTGTAAAAATTAGCTGCAAGGTAAGTCCTATTCAATTGCAATATAAATTGCATCTCCTTGGAAACAGTTTTTCGATAGTTTCTGTTAGAAAAGGGATTAACGTGCTACCGGTTCCAAAATTCGATCCTGCTCTTACTTCGTGAGAGAACGATGGGACATTAAAAATACTTCTCTAGATACATTGATAGTAATTACCCAAATTATAAAAAAAGATTTTGGCTGCCAAGTTCGTTATGAAAAGAGCTCCGTGCATGTGATCATACGATCTGGTAATGTTACATAAGCAATATTCTTAAGAGTGCGTGCCCACAAGGCCGGCTAAACTTCCAAAGTGGCCAAATAATTCTGAAGTTGCTCCGCTTAATCTCTGAAGTATGGTGTTCTTCATTATTTTTCCAAGCTGAGTCTCATGTTCAACAATTTCTTGAAAATAGATATCGTGATTTATTGAGTTTCGCAACATGTTGTCATTTCCGATGTAGATGGCGACTTTTCGACTGCGTGCTGGTGGGCGATTTATCAAAATATACCGGCAAGTTTCAGGTCAACTGCAATGTGTGTAATACGATCGCTCGAGTTTGCGTGACCCAGATTAATTTCTGATGCTTGGGTTAATGTTTTAGCACATCTATGCCCCGCCTGATAGTCTGATTCTGTTCGTTGTTTTGTTCAAGATTGGTCGCGGCCATCCTAGTCACCGTCATGTGTGAAAAAATTTTCCGGCTTGTTGATCGCTGTTCACAGCCAGATCAAGCTTGGGTGAAAACCTTACATAATTGATACCATATTACGTAACGCGCAATTTACAGAGATCATCGGCTACAAATAACCTTGGACGCTGGCAATAGAACAGGCCTCATTCCCTTAAACTTCCTCTTAAACTACAAACTTTTCCATTTTGGAAAAAACCAATTAATGACCTCTTGCAGACCTCCCTTACAGAACGTTCTCGCCTCAGTGCTTACAGTTAAGTCCTGCTCGTAGGCTATGGCGCCATTCGCTAAGCGTAGCACACTTTCTCTTAAACACGTTGTAACAAAACTATCCCAGGTTTACAGAACTATGCATGTCCAGACCACTAAAAAGCTGAATAATTCAATTTAATATATCACTTTGCTTCCAGTATCAATGGAGAATTCCACTGCAAGGTGCTTGAATTCCTCTTATCAGTGCACGGACCAAGTTGAAGGTTATGATGACGTGACCTTAGGAGTATTTGTCGTAACTGGTGTGACAGAAGAGACGCCGCTAATCGATGGATCGCCAAAGGAACGCGGCGCTTCTGTGTGGAAGGCAACCCTGAACATTATCAACTTTATAGAAGGAGTCGGCTTTTTAGCACTACCCTTTGCTATCGCCAAAGGTGGTATTGCAGGGATCGCTGCGTTTGTTATCATGCCTTTCATCTATTGGTTCACTGCGAAAATACTGATCGAGTGTCTTTACAAGAGAGACAATCTCCATAGACGCATACGCGTGCGCTCTTCTTGGAATGAAATCGGACAAGAAATGTGGCCGAGATTTGGTGGGACTATGATAGTCGCTATTCAGTGTTTTGACTTGATCGTCATTGCAACGTCCTACCTAATCGTTTGCGGCTCTCTGATGGCATCGGCTTTCCCTTCCTTGCCCTTGACCGTTGTCCACTGGACATGCATTGCAGCCGTTGTTGTTCTTCCGTCGACATTTCTTAAGTCTCTCTCTCAGATTGCTTGGCTCAGCGTCATTGGAATCGCAGCTTTATTTGGAACTGCAGCGGTAATTTTTTGGTATGGGGTTACGCATCATTCGCAGTGGGACCCCAAAGAGCTCTTGTTCTGGGACACGCAAGGGTTCCTCATCTCACTTGGGATAATTATGTTTAGCTACGGTTCAGCCCCCATTGTGCCTTCCGTGGAGAAAAGTATGGCTGATAAATCGAAGTTTGGACGAGCTTTGGGACTTGCTTATGTAGCTGCAGTGTTTTTTAAATTAAGCTTCTCCATTTTTGGCTTTTTGTCGTTCTCTTTTTCCACAGATGAAATTGTAACAAACAATTTACCCAATAGTGTACCCCACATGGTGGTCAGTGTAGTGTTTGTATTAAGTTGTTTATTTTCTTACGCCCTGCCTCTCCAGTCTGTTTTCCAATACATTGAGGACTCTAGCACTTACGGTCGACTGCAAAGGAAGGTGCTGATGCCACAAGTAGTGTATACAGTGGGGATACGAGTCCTACTTGTTTCCATAACCCTTGCAGCAGCTGCCTATATTCCCCATTTTGGTTTGTTATCGTCATTTTTTGGCAATTTATCACTCCCTTTATTTAATTGCATTCTTCCTTGTGTGGCCCATCTGATTCTTAGGAAAGAGGATTTAAAACGGCGTGAAGTTTGTCTGGATTATGTGGTTATCGTGTTTGGTGCGTTGGTGACTATATTTGGAACTATTGTCTCCACTAAAGCTTTGATTGAAACACTACGAAAATAGGCTGAGTTTTGAGGATAGACCGAGATGAAAATCTTACAAGAGATCTGACTCTTAGCTTGTATTTAAATTAACTTTTTATCACTGATCGTACAAAACGATTTCCATTGGGAGTGTTCCAAAAGATTGCTCCAAGTATTAGCGAAGAATCATAAGTTGTAAAGGCTTATAGCTAGTATTTAGAGTAACTTTTTATCACTGATCGAAGAAAATGGTTTTCAGTATGGGTGTCAATAAAGTTACAAAATTTCCCTAAGTTTGGCGAAGTGTCTTTTCACGATCAGTTGTAATTCAATAAGTTTGTGCAAACGACTAAATCAGTCCAAGCAACAAATTTAAACAAGATGCGGCTTTATGAACGGCGAACCTTCTCTCACTCTGTGTAAGCTCCTTTTGAAGCGACTCATTGGCATGTTCCCCTCAGTTCAACTGAACTCCATCTTGTTGTGTTTTGCCTACTGGCATCTACTTTGGTATTGGCACATTCATAATCGGTTCAACGTTGTTAGAAATTCATAACCGAGAAATAATGTTACGTTCTCATTTGGGAACTTCACTGATTCCGACGCCAGCGATGCATGTAAAATTGTGCCCTAGGTTTCTGTCTGTTCACTGAAATGAAACGTTGCTTTTGTATATCAGTGAGATGACGTGTTTGGGAAAAGATGATATTCTCTTGTAGCAACATGGTCACATTAAGGGCCGGGTACAAGCTAGGTCAACGATGATCACTTCGAAGTGAGAAATATATTGGATGTTTCCTTTACTATTGAAGAAAAGACTATGGTAAACGCTTTACTTTGTGTTACACCTTGCAAATCCTTGCTTAAAACATTTCACGTGCATGTTTTATGGTTATGAGAAAATTGAAAAAGGTGGTAACATGTCCCATTTAGAGAGCGATCTGGAGCGTCTCTCTTTCGCACGTAGATCGGAGAATTGGTCTACACAGATGTATCTTTGATCAGGGTTTCTAAATCGGTCTTTCAGAAGCGGCGTAAAGCTGGGATTTACTTAATGTAGGATGCCTAATTAGGATAAAAGCGGCAATATGCCTTAGCAAGAGAAAATAACGAGCCCATTATTTTCTCTTGGCCTTAGTTTATCATCAGGCGCGACACGAGTGATCTGACCAGACAAGACAAGACAAAAGATGAACTGGCAAAAAAATTAACAATAGCACAGCCTTCACTCTTACCAAATTAGTGCTACCAAACTGAAATGACTTCTCGTTATGTTCGCAGTCAACAGATATTTAAACAGGTTTTAGTTTCTAAGTTCCAACTAGTAATTTTTTCCATACTCTTCGTAATTAGTTAATCTTCATACGGATTACCAACACAATAACTTGATTACTATTCTCAACCAGTGTTTACTTCGCCATGTCACGATAATCTTTTTGAGCTTAGTGAGAAACATTTATATTTCATACGAAGGATCTTCCAAGTAGTCCCGGCGTGTGCAACACTCTTGAGAGATAAACTCAGAAGAAACTCTTTCATAACAAACTGAAGTCACAAGTCTTCTCCTGTCAGCTGACCTCTAGGACGAGTGCCAACATTGTTTATCTAAGAATACAATGTAAATAATTTTGAAAATCTAAATAGTGAAATTCTGAATGTCACGCTATACATTTTTAGGAGAATCGGACGGTTGTGAAAAACTTGTTCCCAAATTATATTTCGTTAAACTACAACACAGAAGAAGTATTTTAGTCCAATGTTTACTGGAGTATTAGCTATTTCGTTCACTTTTCCTTACAAAAAATACGAATTGACTGTTATTTTTTTTATGAGATTTTAAGATGTATGCGCAACAGAATACGTTTTGGGTCATTGGTCACATGGATGAAAATTTCATAAAATATTCATTCAACCTAAACCTGTCATCTTGAGAGAGACGACACTTGTGAGAGACGAGCTAAGAGACTTATTTCTTTTAAAGTGTGTCTTCAACAACTGCCTGTTTACAGAGGGATATTTGGCTGTTTTGCCTATTAGAATGCTAATGCTAATGTCAAACGAAACTTCTACTTTATTGATAGTACGATTCAGTCGGTTTGTTACACGTAGGTGATTTTGTGAATCTGCAAAGTAGCAACGAAATTAAAAATGCCACTCGCTCTGACGGGTTCTTCTGCAACCACAACGAAAGATAAAAGAAGTTACAAAGAGGTTCAAGAACTGCTACTGCTTCACAGACGCTATGAAGAAAAAGCTGTGCGCATATTTAGGAAGGGATTGTCCGACACAAACAAATTGGATGAGGGACAAACCAACGCTGGAAGGCTACAACCTCGCGAACAACAGATGGCGATTAATTCATCTAACAGCGGATCAGCGAAAACCCACACCCGTCACAAGAAAACCTCAAAAAAACTACCACATGATGAATTGCCAAAACCACTTTATATTAATGACAAGGATTATTTAAGACAACTACTTCTGAAAAGAGACCCTTACGAAGATATTGCCGATAGCAATACCGTGTCACACTCTGAAGATCGTGCTCAACTAAGACTACCGAAATTAGAGGGTATACCGCCGGAAAATAAGGAGATATTCTACACAACCCTTCCAAAGATGCCATCTTTACCAAAAATAAGAGACAGTAAGGTTGGTAGCATCAACCCACGCAGAAAAAAGAAACGCATTAGTCAAAATTATCAGCGCGGTGAGTCGAGCACGTTTTCTGCAGATAATTGTTTGACCATAAGACAGTTGCCTAGAGACCACTTTATGCTTCAAAATCAGTCTACGTCGATCACATCTCTACCGACAAATTTTCCCGTTGGTATAAGCCCACAATCTCCCGAGCGAATGGCCATGGATGAAGGACAGCTTTGGTTGGTGCCTTTGGTAAATATTGAAATTCCTCCCTATCGCTTAGCAAGGTGGAATGAAGTTGAAAACGGAAGTCTTACGGTGGAGGGAGCTGGATACAGAGAAACTCAAAATAATGAAGAAAGTTCGAATAATAAAAGCAGCGGTGGACTAAGGCAACCCAAGTATAAAAGAAACGTGCACTTCAGTGAATTTTTACACGAAATTCATCTCTATTCTCCTATATCAACGCATAGCACAAGGTCCAAAGAAGATGTAGAGGATATCAATAATTAATCGTTTTTGTCGTGAGATTTTTAAATAAAATGACATCTGTAAATGCAAGTACTAAGTGGCGTATTGAAGAGGAAATTAACAAGAGATTTTTCACGCGTACGAGGTTAAGTAATATTTATAGCTAGTTCACCAACAGATGTCCATACTGAAGTAGAAAAGTCCAATAAGATTATTGAAATAGATCGGAAATTTACTCCTCTGTCACAGTTTATCATTGTGAAATAAAAAAAAATCTTATTTTGTTATTTACAGTGCATTTTCAGTTTAAATTTAGCAAAGACAAAAACATTGAATCACGTGATAAGCTTTGAGTTAACCCCCAAAACATATTTTTTGTGAGTATTTTCAAGTGATTAGCAAGTGACCCCTTTTCCGAGAAACCAAAGAACAGAAGTACATAATACTACACATGGCTTTTTCTTTTCGGCAATAATGATTTTCTCGATTGACAGGCGACTTCCCTAGTAGATATGACGTCATATGTGAGTCTTTCTCTCACACTCAAACACAGGCGAAAAATTGAAACTTTTGGTTTTTGTGATGAAGATTCTTCTTACTGGGGGGGGGGGGGGGCGGTTCTTTTGAACAAGAAAAAAAAGTTTAGGGTCTACCTTTCAGGTTAAAGCATCTAGTAGGTCTATGAAGTTTATTGTTTGACTGAAAGGTGACATAAAATTGTCACGTTTTCGAATTGTACTATACACCTTTTCTGAGATATGTGATCCAAGCTGCGATCAAAGCAAATTAACTAACAGCGAATTTTTTGCGCGGAAACTCTAAAGTAAAACATATCTTCAGTTGTTCAGAAAGTGGCAAAAAAATTATTCCCACGCTATGTCGTACTAAACAGGGGCAGTGAAACAAAATGTATAGTAAAACGCCTCTCATAGGAAACTTTGCGATAACTTACTCTCAAACAAGCTTCAGGGCCGAGCAGAATAATTCAACCTCGAGAAACTTTATGTTCCTTTTTCAAAATTAACGTATGTTTTTTTATTCTATCTATCAAAGTTAATCTATGATCCCTTTCCAAGAGAAAGTATATTACACGTACCATTTCCTAGATGAGGATAAAGGTTACAATTGGGCTGGAGACTTGACCTTGTAGGGGACTTCGTGTCCTACTGTTTTGTTCCCTAGTACTTAAATTGTAATATTTATTTTTCTATTACTTCTATGGAACTAAATCTGGAAATAAATAAGATAAATCAATTGATTAATCTCAATCTTCTACGAGTAGTAATTGTACAAGATATTTCAATTAATAGATTGTGCAATTGCAATTAGCTAAGACAAAGAATATAGTGGTTAAATGTTGCATTTCATTCTAAGTTAGCTCCGTTTTCAGCCAAGTTAATTGAGAGATGGTTTGTGTCGAGTTAAAAGTATCCATATTGAAGCTATGACTATAAGAAGCTTGTTTATCACAAGCCTCATTCAAACAGATCATATACAAACTTGTGAATTTTTTTGACAAACAGCTCCTCATTACCGTTCCTTGCCTAACTCATTCAAACAGATCATATACAAACTTGCTAACTTTTTTGACAAACAGCTCTTCATTACTGTTCCTTGCCTAACTTTGCAGGGTCATTAAGGTATTGATGTATTAATCAGCCACAACACTTACTCGGGTCAGCTATTCGTCTTCGGGCAATTGAAACTCAACCACCCTCCCTTGAGGTAGTCTAATATCAATTTGTCGAACGGGTGTTGGTGGGGGTTGTGGAATTGTCCTCTCGTGGTATCCTTGTTGTACTCGTTTAGGATCTAATCTAAGAGTCTTTAAACCAGCTGCAACATCTATGGCTCCTTTTGCGGAATGTCTCTCAGAATCGCCGACCATGTTTCGTTTTGGTAAATGTACTTTCTTAGATCGCACACCCCAGCCATTGAAGAAACAACTTTTCGGGAATTCGATTTTGTTTTCATGCGCTGACTTGACCTTACGACCACTCGGTCTAGCAGAGAAAGTAACACGATTGATCCTCATGTTCGTAAAGTATTCCTTGGTTACTTTCTTGTTATGCGTGCTATCGTCAAAGCCGTTTGTAAAACAATCAAGCCAATTGTATGGATCATTAAGGCCTAGTCCACTTGACGCAGACTTCGAAGTACGTCTACATTCTCTTGCTTCAACATCTCTCAGGGTGATCTCATTTACCCTTGTTGGATCAAGCTGTTCGTCGGTCACTGACGCCGAACCAGTGACACGACAAGCCTGCAATGGCGCACGACCAGTCCGTAAGGCTTTTTGGTCTTGTTTACTCCTCAAAATTCGAGTTTTAGTCTGTTCTCTAAATGGATTCGAAGTATTTGGTTCTAAACAAAGAAAGCACCGTTTCTCAGAATTCCACTTTGTTGTCTTAAATCCATCCTCGCTGGTAGATCGCGAGCCTGTAGTTGTTAAGATGCGTTCGCCAATATTATATCCATGTTGTCTTGAAAATGCTCCTTGTGGCACAAGCGAAGTGTGCAAATATTTAAGTCTCCTTAATGCTTGCTCAATCGATTGCTCTTTTGACGCTCTTGATTCCATTATCTGAATTACTCATTCAAACTGTGAACGGATATTGCACATCAGATGCGTTTGAACACAGCTAAAGTAATTTCTTTTGTGTCGACGTTGAGTCTGTGAAAGTCTCGTAGGGAGTAACGAATAAACAACAAGAACATTTGTTTGACAAAAGAAATTATTTTTTTGTTGAAAGCTCATGCGATTCGTTCAAATTGATAATCGTTGAATATTTATCAACAAAAGAATCATTTGAATACAATTATTTATTAAGGTTACTCTTAGGGTTATCCATTCTTGTGTTAACAGTTTTGTACACGTTTTCACTTACATGAACTAAAAGTAATTGATTAATATTACGTTTTGAAGTTTATGACTGATTGTTTCACTATTCGCTTAACAGTTTTTGAACAACTGGAATGCAAATAATACTTAATGACTCGTGACTGAGACCTCATTTTAGTGTAAAATAACAAAAAACCTCAATCTAATCAAAATCGAACAGTGTTCAGTGCGAGAACTTCAGTGAAGTGGAAACACCGCGGATAGTCATGCAACACAAACGTTACGTCATCCTAGGCATAGTTCTATGTATGTCAGTCATGTCTTAGTTGTCTTGTCTCATCCTTGTCAATCTTGTAATTTTTTCCTTTTGGTGGAGTTTTGTCATTTGCTTTCTTAACGTATTAAAGGAGTGGTGAGTGTAGGGATACGCACGTGACATCTTTATGCAAAAAGGGAGCACGATCATGATTCACATGTACCAGCAAACATTCATTTGGTTCTTTATCTAAAACATCTAAGTTATAATAATGCTGATCAGTGGGAAGGTTCGCTCCCATGTACAAAAACAGTCCCGATTTTCAAACCGAGCCAAAACTGCAGATCGAGAGAGCCTACGTAAATACAAGTAAACCACACTGACCAAATGATTGAAACAAAAAAAGTCGTAAGTGATCGATGCTGACTGAAACAAAGAGAAGAAAACGATGCAACCAAAAATACTTTTCTTCCTAGTTGGGCGATTGTGTACGGTCCAATTAAGGCAAAGGCAGACTCCTTTTTCCAGTTAGCGGTATACTCTTTAGATACTTTTTATACTCTCACACACTTATTAA